CTCAGATCAATAAGATCAAGTAAATTAGAAATTCCAAGAGTTCAGTCAAAGCAGGGTGAATCCCCCTTCAGCTACTACTTTTCATTTTCTTATACTTCTCTCTTTTATTCATGTTTATGTAAAGCACTTTGAATTATCATTGTTTATGAAATGTGCTATAAATAAACTTGCCTTGCCTATAATATGATATTAATTATATATATATGTATTTATCATGGGTGACGCGGTGGCGCAGGTAGTGCTGTTGTCTCACAACAAGAAGGTCGCTGGTTCGAGTTTCAGCAGGGTTAGTTGCCGTTTCTGTGTGGAATATGCATATTCTCCCCGCGTTCGCCTGGGTTTCCACCGGGTGCTCCGGTTTCCCCCAAAGACATGCGATATACAGGTGAATTGGGTAAGCTAAAATTGACCATAGTGTATGAGTGTGAATGAGAGTGTATGGGTGTTTCTCAGTGATGGGTTGCAGCTGTAAGGGCATCCGCTGTGTAAAACATGTGCTGGATAAGTTGGCGGTTCATTCCGCTGTGGCGACCCCGGATTAATAAAGGGACTGAGCCAAAAAGAAAATGATTGAATGAATCAATGTATTCATTATAAATTATAAGTTAAATTTTATGTAACTTATAAATGGTTGAAGTAACATAAAAGCTTTTGTTGTGACGGCTTTTTCTCATATTATTTTTACAGTGCAGTTCGTATAAGGTGTTTGTGAATCATTACATTTTTTATAATTTGTACTAAATAACTAAATCAAGGTTATTTAAATATGTATATATATATATATATATATATATATATATATATATATTATTTTTTTATTATTTTTTTTAAACATCTATGTGGTCAAAACATTGGTGAATTGTCTAAAAAATAAATGTGCACATTTCTGATTAACTTAATATTTTTTAATAATAATAATAATTACTTATTAAATACACATATAAAAATACAATTCTCTAAATGACAATTTTATTGTAATTTAATTAATTTAAGATATCAAGAAGAACCCTGTTATTCGCACTCCTAACATATTTTGGAAAATGGATCCAAAAACAATTGTCACGTGTTTAAGTGGCAGCACGGTGGCTTAGTGGTTAGCACTGTTGCCTCACAGCAAGAAGGTCATGGGTTCAACTCTCGGCTGGGTCAGTTGGCGTTTCTGTGTGGAGTTTGCATGTTCTCCCCATGTTGGTGCCGGTTTTCCCCTCAGTTTAAAGACACTATAGGTGAATTGAATAAACTAAATTGGCCGTAGTATATGTGTGTAAATGAGATGTTTATAGATGTTTCCCAGTACTGGGTTGCAGCTGGAAGGGCATCCGCTGCATAAAACATATGCTGGATAAGTCCGCTGTGGTAACCCCCCATGAATAAAGGGACTATGCTGAAAAAAATAAATGATTGAATGAATCAAATATTGAAGTTTCAGTCTTAAATATCTTAACAATGATACACAACTTGTTCTAATTATGTATGAGTGTTATTTTTTAGCATGCAGTGAATTATGAATAACAACAAAATGGAGCTGTCTGCAATTTATAAAGGTTAAGAGGTTAGCAAGTCCTGACGTATCATCTGTGGACCATAGACTAAATCAGATATCAGAGTAAAATTTCAAGTGGATGTTGTAGGGCTGAAATTTTGATACATAAGATATTGTTTCAATAATATATATATATATATATATATATATATATATATATTAAATGTGCTGGCTTAGGTAGATCAAATATGCACTGCTAACAGTTCATCAATTGTACCCAGGGGAAACAATCCTGCAACCTTTTAGCCACTACATCATTTCACACTTTCAAGATCCTTCAATCTCCAAACCCAGGCTGGAATGTCAAAGCCAGTTATAGTTTCATTTTTGTTCACATACAACATTTTTGTGACATTCAGGAGTCCACTTACTAGTTGAAGATGGAGAAGGAAAAAAAAATCACTTTGAATAACCTCAATTTCCCTCTATAGGGCTGTTCAAGCATCCCCCTGGTGGTCTTATAAAAAAACAATGACTTATACTTCAGTGACCATAAAAGATTTACTGATATGGGAGAAAAAGAAAGAAAAGAAAAGCTCTTTGGCTCCAAGGCCCCCCATTGACCAAGGAAATATTCCAAGGCTCCCCAAAATATTTCATCTGGTTTTTCTGCAGTAATGATTCATTTTTTCAGGAGACAGCAGTCTAAAATAAATAGGAGAGTTTTACGATTTCAGAAGTTTGCATCTGGATTTTTGCCTTTTTCACTAAAGTAAACTGTATACTAGAGCTGCACAATTCTCGCTAAAATGAGAATCGCAATTTTTTATTTTTTGCTTAAAATAAAGATCACAATTCTCTCCCGATTCTATAAATGTAAAATAAAGCCTAATATGAGATTATTGTTTTTTTCTCAAACATATGGTAAAACAACAATTTTAATATTATGTGTAGTTCTAATGGTTTCTATAAATAATTCTACTTATAATAATTCTGATGTTGAATTATGTTTGCGATATAGGCCTATGCTTGCAATCTGTCATTGAGAACATTATTAGACCATTTAATTCACTGGTAAAACCAACATATAGGCTAGAGTATCTATACTGACACTGTAAACATTATTTTCAAGCACAACTGTGGGTTCGCTATGAAAGAAAAACAGATCAAATGCTTGTCGCAGTCATAACTCTAAAATGAGATATGATTATTTAAATGATGTACATGCTTTCGGTTTCAATTTCACTGCTAAGTGCTGTTCATACTTCGCGCGCGGCTCTCAAACGATCACTTACTGCCACAAACTAAATATTATTTACAACTTTATTCACTGTTACTCACAGCATAAGCAGGTTCTGTTCACTAAAGTAGACGCGCGCGTCTATCATTAAGCAGGGCGCGCGCCTGCACAGTCAGCAGCTCACGTCACGTGTGACTTCCCGGCCGTGATTACATCATTATATGAAGACAAAAATGACATTTTTAGGTGAATTATACCTTATAATTACAGTATGTGACTCTTTTAACATCATTTGGAGGTGTCCATATCGTTGAGCAACGTGTGAGAAACAATGAAAAGACTCGAGCAGCTGCCTTTTCTTCTCTCCTGAACTTGAAAATATGATTGGCAGAATCATAGAAATGCTGGATTAAGATCGTCTAAGGGGTCGAATCAAAATCGCGATCTTTTTTTCGATTAATTGTGCAGCTCTACTGTATACCAGCTCTCAGTCCACACAACAGGCTCCTCAGCAAAGCGAAGTCCAAACCTTTTTTTTTTTTTTTTTTTGCTTTGGTCACTGTGGAATTTCAGCTGATTGTCCACTGAGGTTGTGACATTGTAGAGATGTAATATTCTAGAAATCACAGATCTGGAACAATAGCTTTTCTTGCTTTGGCTGAAAGCGTCTCCCGTGGCCTTTATCCGGACAACCGGCTGTAGTAGGGTTTCAGTCACTTTAGAGCAGATCACAATCTTTGGCAAGTGAAAACTCATCTTTTACCTGTGTTAGTACAACTAAAGAATACTGTAGGTCTAAGATGAAAATGTAATACAAGTGTACACTGTAAAAAATACTTCCTTCATGCTGTCCCAACACAAATCAATTAAGTTAAGTGGATCTTTTTTTTCTTTTTTTTACAAATTTAAGTGGATTGAACATAAAACAATTAATCTATCTCGAAAAAGGCAATAATTGTGTTGTTATGAATGTAAGTTTTCTCTCATCTTAAATTCAACAAAAACCCTAAACAAAAACAAACAAACAATAAAGCACTAACCAACTGACAAACTGACAACAGTGAAACTGACAAATCTAAGCTTTTATAACTAATTAAAGTGGCTCAGTGGTTAGCAAGAAGGTTGCTGGTTCAAGTCCTGGCTGGGTGAAGCGAAGTTTGCTCCGTGTTCGTATGGGTTTCCTCCAGGTGCTCTGGTTTCCCCCCCAGTCCAAAGACATGTTCCATGGGCAAATTGGGTCAACAAAAAATGGCCATAATGTATGAGTGTGTGTGAATGAAAGGGTGTGAGTGTTTTTCCTGGGTTGTGTCTTGAAGGGCACCTGCTGCATAAAACATTTGCCAGAGTAATTGGCGGTTCATTCCACTGTGGTGACCTCTGATACATAAGTACATTTCAACAGGCAATTTAGCTTACTCGATTCAACTACACCACATGTCTTGTGGGGAAAACCGGAGCACCCAAAGGAAACCCAGCAACCTTCATCCTGTGAGGTGATCACGCTACCCACTGCGCCACCGTGACACCACCCAAACCTTTATGAGTTTTTCTATTCTGTTGGACACAAAAGATATTTTGAAGAATACTGAAAACCGGTAACCATCGACTTCCATAGTAGATTAAAAAATAAATACTTTAGAAGTTAATGGTTACAAGTTTACAACATTTTTCTAAATATCTTCTTTTATTTATTTATTTTTACATTTTTTTTTTTGGGGTGACCTATCCCTTTAAGCTTTAAAAAGTCACATAAAAACATACAATTTTAAACTCCATATAGGTTAATACTGATGTGGTTAACAGATTAAATCAGCTATCACAATGTAATAATCCTCCCAGATCATCTGAGTACGAGTTTGTCACCACACTAGACGAAAAGGATCCAACTGCAAGTGTTTAATAAAAGGAAAAATGTAACAAAGACAACTTTTTTTCTGATTGCCTTCGGTGTCCATGTAGATATATTACATTTTTTTTAATTATAAATACTATGGAAGTCAATAAACACCATGGAAATCAATGGTTACAATTTTCAACGAGTTTCTAAATATTTCCTATATGTTCAGCATCTTCTAAACAATGAGTTAATGATGAGTAAAACATTTTTCATTTTTGTTGTACCTTTAAGCTTATAGGCACCAAAGCATACTATTATAAACTGCTATATAGGTTTTAATAGGTTAATATTGATGAGGCTAACAGATTAAATCAGCTGTCACAATGAACTAATCCTCCCAGATCATCTGAGAGCGAGTTGTGCGTCTTTGCGCGTACTGACGCACTGTGTTGAGCTGCGCACGGCGCCATCAGATCCGCGCAGAAAGCAAATGCACCGCTCTGGACTGCCAGGACTTTCCTCTGAGCAGAAACACATTCGTATCTATTCAGCATCGAGGATTCTTTACATAACATACGAGCAAGTTCTACACGCGTGCACGTGAGGATTATGATGAGATGAGGGATGATTCTGAGATGCTTTGTGAGGCACCACTGCGGGAGGCTGGAGAATCATCGGCTTGACAGTGAACAGATTTCCACGAGATTCCCACGGAGCAGCCCGCCGGTGTGATCGTGCACATGGAGAGCTCGATCCGCGGCGCGTGAACGCACACACTCGGAGATCCCGGTATTTACAGCGCTTTTGGACACTTTGGGCTCCTTTTTTACAGGATATTCTTTAGTCTATGTCTGCGGCTACGGTTTCATTCCGAATTTATCCGTATGTACTTTGTGTGACATATTTATTTCCAGCGAAACGCCAACTGGTTTTCAAATTATGGTGAACTGAGGGGATTTATTTAACACCTCATAGGTGAGTTCGCATGTTTAGTCTGTCTGAATTACGCCAGAATAACTTTATGTTTAAGCTCTACAGAAAATCTCCTAAGGGTGTCTTGAGTCCACCTGTTAAATATTGTGTTCTGCATTTTTTTCAGTGCGCTTTTTTATTACTGAATTGTTTGGAGACATTTAGGATCGTTTATTAAGAAAATACGCGAATAAAACAAGCAATGTGGTGATGTTGGAAGTCGGGTTGTGCAGTTAAAACAACGTATAGTTGCTTTGCTAAAATATGCATTAACTTTCGTGGAGTTTTAGACAGTGCAGTATTACAAAACAGCCTTGTTATGCTTTATTTTAGTTAACGAATCATAACTTTTTCATTTTAGCTGCATAGTAAATCTTGATAATGTCTTGTGTCCACCTGTTTAAGTCCATGCGGATGCTGCAGAATTTGGGAGGGGAGCCTGTATATTATCTTCAATTCAAATTTGATTCTTATATCAGCTGGCCATAATGAGATTCAGCACATTTAAAGCATTATTATCTGTACAGACTCTTATGAAGACGTTTGAGTATAATTTATATACAGTGAATTCATAATCATGACATTTGCGCACAAAACGGACTTCATAATAAAATATTATTAAGTTTCCTAAAAAAGTGCTAATAAATGGGTCCATCTTTTTCAGTGTCCACAGCACGGACATCTTCCTCAGTCATCTTCATCTTTGGCTGTATATAGGATGCAGCAGGAATGATCCCGGTCCAGCGCGTTAAAGCTCAGCCTCAGCTGTGGCACGTGAGCGCCGAAGCTCCACCGTGGCTCTGGATGGTCCCGACCACCACCGGGCTGTGCAGGGTGGGTTCTGCTCCTCCGGTGCTCATCTCCTCTCGCCCTCCACCGGTGATCCAGGCGGTCTCGGGATGGCAGATGTCCTGCGATCCGTTCGTGCCTGTGATGCGCGCCGCCGCCGCCGAGCCCGCGACCATCAGTCAGTTCAGTCTGCCCAGTGTTCAGGTAAAGACTTCACGTGTGACACTTGTTCTCGACTGAAATTAGATGTTTACTGCATTTGATAAGGAATAGCCGGTTTATTTACACTTGTTTGACTGCTTGCACAAACTACTTATTTAAAATGAGCTGAAACCTTACAAATCTTAACACAACTTAATTGTTTTATGCTCAATCCATTGTAGAAACGATTAAGTTAACTTCATCGGTTTGTGTTGGGACAACATGAAGGAATTTTTAGGAAACCCTGATTTTTTTAGTGTATAATCAAGCATTTGAATGTAAATAAATGACAAAACACTTACACTTAAACACTTGTACAAATGTACAAATTAGTTGCTTAAATCAAATCTAAGTGAACTGAACATAGTTGTTTCAAAACACCCTTGAAAATTGTAATTTCAACTCATTTTAAATAAGTAGTTTAAACATACAGTAAAAGTAATAGTTTTCAGTGTGTAAATAAATGACAAAACACTTGTTATCGACTAAAATGAGCTGTTTATTACATTTGATTAAGGAATAGCCTATTTATTTATGATCAAGAAAGATCTGAATGTAGTTAAAAGGTATCTTGTCATTGCCTTTGGTTTCCATATCGCTATTTTCAATTTCTTTTTCTGTTAAGATCCATTTGCGTTGAACTGTGATGACAGTAACAATAATGCTTATGATAGCATGAATAGATTGAGCAACTATTATGTTGGAAAAAGGTCTGCATTCAGTACTCAGGTCTAGGGAGACAATCAAAAACCTATGCCTATATAAACCTGAATACTTTTGCCTAATAGAAACTGATCAGATTTTATTTTTTATGTAGTTATTTTCATTTTTATTTCATATAATATGCATGTTGAACATTAACTGTAAATAATGTAACAACAAGATGCCAAGGCAACACATATTTTTAAGTTGCTCTATCCTATTTTAACTTATTTTAACAAGTTAATCAGATTTTGACTGATTTTTTTAAAGTTATACAAATATTTTGTAGTCATTTTGATGTAAGTTGACATGATTCAATTCAATTAATCTTTATTTCAATAACGCTTTCACAAGATTGTGTCAAAGCAGCTTAACATAGAAGTTCTAGTAAATTGAAACTGTGTTCAGTTTTAAGAGTTGAAGTTCAGTTTAGTTCAGTTCAGTTCAGTTCAGTGTGGTTTATTTTTTACTGCAGAAAATCCAAACATTGAAGAGCAAATCCATCAATGCACAGCTCCACAAGTCCCAAGCCAAGCAAACCAGTGGTGACAGTGGTGTTTATATGACATATATATATATATTCAACTAAAAAAATGAAGGCAGGAAGCTTTTTTATTTATTTTTTAAATTTACAGTGTATCAGTTATATTGGAAACACTTAAGGAAAAGTTTTGCTGTTTATGCAAACATCTTCCACTTTCTTTTTCTGCAGTAACACATTTTAAAGAGTTACGCAATGCTAATAAACTGTTTTAATTGTGTCCATTATGTAGTTTAATTTAATGTGCCATTAATGAATAATCTGCCTTTATATCCTAATAAAAGTTATTTCTGGAGATTTTACTTGAAGAAAGTGCATAGACACAGTACTGATAGACTTTTGCTAAAAACCCAGTTAAATATTGACATAATGTGTGCAATGTTTGAGTTTTGATTTATGCAGTAGGCAGTAAAGAAATGGCAAAATAACCCATTGGTAGAAAAATGCCATTTCCCTCTGTATTTCCTATTGGAATACAGTATGAAGTTAGGGCAAAAAAAAAAAAAATGATGGGCTCATGCTTTTTTTAAAAATAGCCAGAATCCCTTAGTGTGCATTGCACCTGTGAATAATGATATACTTCTAACTTTTCTGACATGAGGGAGAAGAGCATTCTCATTTTAGAGCTTTTACTGGCCAAATAATATACATCCCTTTAGAAAAAGAGACGAGTCACACAGTATATACAGTTAAAGTCAGAATTAGTAGCCCCCCTTTGAATTTTCTTTTCTTTTTTAAATATTTCCCAAATGATGTTTAACAGAGCAAGGCCATTTTCACAGTATGTCTGATATTTTTTTCTTCTGGAGAAAGCCTTATTTGTTTTATTTTGGCTAGAATAAAAGCAGTTTAAAAAAAAAAACATTTTAGGGACAAAATTATTAGCCCCTCAAAGCTATATTTTTTTTCAATTGTCTACAGAAAAAACCTTCATTATACAATAATTTGCCTAATTACCCTTACTTGCCTAGTTAACCTAATTAACCTAGTTAAGCCTTTAAATGTCACTTTAAGCTGTATCGAAGTGTCTTGAAAAATATCTAGTCAAATATTGTTTACTGTCATCATGGCAAAGATAAAATAAATCAGTTATTAGAAATAAATCATTAAACGTATTATGTTTAGAAATGTGTTGAAAAAAAAAGCTTCTCTCCGTCAAACAGAAATTGGGGAAAAAAATAAACGGGGCTAATATTTCAGGGAGGCTAATAATTCTGACTTCAACTGTGTGTGTGTGTGTGTGTGTATGTATATATATATATATGTGTGTGTGTGTGTGTGTGTGTGTGTGTGTGTATATATATATATATATATATATACTGTAAACACAGCATTTCAGTGATCTCAAAGCAAACATTCAGTGACTAAGATGTATTAACTTCTTAATTTTTTGTTGTTTGGCAAAAGGGCACAGGTCAAATTCTAAATAATAATAATAAAGTGTATGTCGTGAAAAAATGGATCCTCACTTGGAAATTTTGCTGAGTATTGGAAACTTAGTAATTAGTAACACAACATAGGCTCATTCTGAAAACGTAGCCCTATATAACTAAATACCTATAGCCTAGTTAGTTAGTCGACAGCGGCCTCTGGTCAATTTATATGAGAAGAGCAGGTGTGAATGGCACTCACGAGAGAAATATGAGATCTTAAAAAGCATACACAGCAGCCTCTGGTGGATTCTCGAAAACAAAAACTCCAAAAAAAAGTAGCTCCTGGGACGTAATTTGGCGCTCCCCAGAAATGCGTAAAGGGGTAAGTAATCAGAATGAGCCTGGGTTGACTTTGCAATAGTCACTATTATTAGATTGTCAGCTTGATTTCTGCCAACGCTATTTAATGCTTCCACAACAAACACCTGACAATTAGTAACTTTGCAAATGCATGAGTTATTCTACTACTCCAAGCACCAGTCTACACTGTAAAAAAAAAAAAAGCTATTAATTTATGATTGTGAATTGCATTCTACTCTGTTGAAATGTATTATGTTGAAAAATTAACTCTACAAATTTAACACAGTGTCTTTTATTGACATTTAGTAGCTTGAAATGTCTGAAAAATAATATGCATTAAGACATAAGGCTATGAAATAACATTAGATGTACAGGCAGATTATTGCAATGTTTTTGTACCGTATAATACAACACCAACCCACACAAAATATGTCACTTTAAACTATTAAAATTGTTATTAAAAGACACTATTTTTTACTTTTCAAGTGTTAAAGTTGTTGGAGGTAAGATTAACATCCCATAATATGATTCAAAAGCATAAATAAATGGGGAAAAATTAAAAAAAACATGAATCACAAAATGTGTAAAAGTGCTAATTTACTGATTTTTTAACAGTGTACAAATACTGTATTAACACTCTGACCAAAGTAAATTGCAAGTTATATCCAACAGAACGATTAAAGAATCACACAAAAATTATTTTTATTTTTTTGTGCAAGTGATTTATGGTCCTTTGCATAACGAAAGCATTTGCAGTTATTACATGTTGAATGTATAGTAAATGTAATGTATTACATATCACAAAAGTAATTGAGCTTCGCTGGTTTGAAAAGTAAATATGCGTCTCTTATATTAGCAGCAGCATATGACTAAAGCTCTGAGAGTCTTTATTTTTGCTCTGCATCATGCAAGTGAGTTGTTTCTGTAAATGCTTTTACAGGAGTTAAGCAGTTGTACTCTTCAGCCGAGTATTTTGACTTGCTGTGATAATGAATGAGTCAAAAATTAATTCAATAATTCAAGGTCCTGATTAAATCTTAAAAACACGTTTGTTGGATGTTTACAGTCGACTGGCAGCTGCTTGAATGTGCATAATAACATGCACAGGATGGATTGAAATGTGCAGGACGAGTTTTGATGTTGATAACATTTTTAGCAGCATAGTTTTGGGTTGAACCGCCGTTAAATGTTCAAGACACCCTCAAGTACTTTTTTTTTAGAATTTTAACAGATTTTGTTGAGTATCAATTTAGACAACATTAGCATCTGATTGCATTAATTGTGGGGAAAACTAAATTCTAAACTTTTGTAAGCTAATTTCACCTTCACTAAAATCATTACTGGGGCAGAATCAAAATCGGTGATGTAGTGATCTGCCAGTCAAGTGATGAAGCGTTGGTTTATTATTATTATTATTATTATTCATAGACTTTATTCATAGTTTTCTTATCCTATGAGAAGACCCTGGATCTTAATTATTCATGACAGCACTTACGTTCTGATGATATAACAATATGGACAAACCTGCCAAGCTATGGTTTTCCCCGCGATGCTGTCAGGGCCACCAAAACAGCCAACCTTTTTGTGTGTACCAAGTGTTTTTGTCGGGAGAGCTATACTAGAATTGGAGAATGGCGAACTTTGTCTTTCATCAGTTGAGTTTGTTACCATTCAGACACATCACCTATCCATGCTGCTATGTTCATCTTTGTTTAAAATCTTTCGGATTACCGGCATGGCTAATGGTTGGAATAGATAGGGCAAGAGACCTGCTGCACTGCTATCCATTGTGTCTGCATTCATACCCAGGGATTCAGGAGGAGAGTCCTCTTCATTTGTAGTGTTTATATAAATATGATTATAGGAGGAGAGTCCTTAGGTGGAGGTATCTTGGGGTTTTGTTCATGAGTGAGGGGGATGGAACTTGAGATTGACAGGCAGATTGGTGCAGTGGCAGCATTAATGTGCTCAGTGTACCGGTCTGTTGTGGTAAAGAAGGAGCTGAGCCGAATGGCAAAGCTCTCAAT